GAATGCTACAGATCGCATATGCTTACAGCGACAATGTCAGCTGATTCTGCTGGGCATCTGAGGCCTGGTCCCACAGTTGTTTCCATTTTCCCGTTTCCCCCACAAGCATCTGAGTTCAAGACCATGGAGGGAAGTGATGCTTCTCCATTGAAGCTAGTTCTCCAAATGCATCCATGTGATGTCAGGCAATGTTTTTGCAAAGCATTGTAAGATTCAATTACTAGAAAAACTAAATTTAAAAAGAGGCATAGCAGCTCTGTGTTCAGACGAGAGATGGTCTCCCCAAGAAACTGTTGAATTTATCTGGACAATAAGAAGCTGGACACTATGCAAAGTACATGCTTGCAATGAAAGAATTATAACTAGATTTGAACTGTAATACTGCCGTAAGGTAGAGGAATCTACCATGGGGGGAAGGTACGGGGAGGAATTGGGGGAATCCCAGAGCCTATGAGACTGTGTCATAAGATCAAATGTAACAAAAAAAAAAAAAATAGGCGTACAAAATGCAAACCCTGATAATTTATTTGATTCAGTGTACAAACTCCTCTGACAAATGTCAGTGTGAGCTTATTCACAATTCCTGCCCTTACCTTGATATAAGTTAGAAGCAAACAATTCAAGGACAGGTCAGAAAACTTCATCAGAGTAGTACTGGTCTAGCAGTTTAAAATCCTACTTGTAACTTTCTGAATTATGTATTTTTTAGCTTCAAGAATAAGAACATATGGAATCATGTCCTGGACATGAATAGAACTGTAACTCACCTTCCCTTCCCTTGGCTTTTTTCCAAGACATGATTAGCTGAGTTTCTTAGAACCCAATAGATTTTTTTTTTTTTTGGTTCTCCATTTTAAAGCACATACACATTTTATTCTAATCATGATGGCTCCCACACCCAGCCCAGCACCTTCAGAAAAAGCGGGCAGACCCTCTAGCAGGTTGTAGCTCAGATTTTGTCAGAAGGCACCTGATTTGGGTACAGATTGCCTAACGTGGGGCAAAGGAACTTGCCTCTGCCATACTGCAGGACAGCCTGATCCAAGGAATGTTTGCAGGAAGAGCGGAAGTTTAGCCTCTGAACTTGGGAATTACATATGTAAGAAGATGGACCGTAATTGCTCATTTCCTTCACAAACAAACACATTTGCTTATGATTTTGATTTCCTAAATACTCAGAAAGGGACACCATAAAGTACTTTTGCCTTAATGTGCCTTTAAAAATCTCTAATAGCAACGTCATGTGCTCCCCAGGAACAGACCATGTAATTTATTCAGGAAAATTAAAACCAGTAATCTAGTATTTTGTATAAAGATTTTTTTTCCTCCTGTATGTGCTTTAGAAGCATTTCTTCAGAAAACTGAAAAGAAATCTGCATGTGAAAACAAAGCTTTTAAAGGGAATTTCTATTCCAGAAAAATCAAGCTAAGTCCATACCATAAAAGTAGGCCTTTTTGCCTTTTTACTATTTCAATGATAAAAAGACAATGATTTGAGGCCTCTTCAGGAAAGGAGAGTTCTTCCCAGCAGAATTTTTTTGGGGGCATTTTTCCTTTGCATTATACTCTACAATAACCTTACCTATAAATTCTGAGTTTAAAAAAAAAAAAAAAGATCCAGCATAGCCACATTTTGTATGCTTTGTGGAGTTTGAGACATCTACGCAGTAACTGCCTTGTGATGGGAAAACATGAATGCTTTTTCTATTGGTAATCATCTGTAACATGAGCAATTAAGTACAGTACTAATGGACTATGGCCAGGAGCCTGGTACTAATATTAAAAACTGACAGAGATGAATAGGTTTGGAAGCAAAACCAGGCTGACAAAGACATTTTTATGAAGTGCTTGGACCTATTTGATTTAAACCAATCACGGGCAAGTTTGGACGAGTCAGTCCTTCAGCGACAATGATGCATTCACAGGCATTGTACCATTTCTGCTATGCCTTAAATAAAAACACCCATTGATTCTTTTCAACAACCCCTACTTTCATTATTCCACTCATTAATAAGGCAAAAGAGCCCAACTAATACATAAGTAACATTTACTTGAGGAACTGGCTACTTTTTTTGTTGTTGTAAAATGAAAACATTTACTGGAAATGTGAACCACACTGCATGAAAAATACATCAGTGGATAATGCATAGGAGAGCGTTCATTTCTTTTTCATCTTCTAGGAAAGCAAAGCTAAAGGGAGGGGAAGAGGAGAAGGAGTAAGTCTCTACATTACAGTGACAAGAAGGAATCACTGGATGAACTAGCGGTCCAGCAGGGACTTGAAGGTCTTCAAACCTTGCCCAGGCATTTTCAGACTAGGCATTTGCCCTCAAAGTCTTGCCCTCAAGCATGTGAACCTTCTTGAACATGGCAGCCCTTCACCAGCCTCGTCACTCCTGCTTTACCTGGCTTGGGACTGGCAACAATGAGCCAAATCTGCCATGATCGCACAGTTTTAGGCAAGAACTTTGGCCTCATCTTCAATGACAGCAGAACTCTTTCAAGTCCCTGAACATATCTAAGTTAACTCTGATTTTCTCCTGTAGAATTAATTAAAGGTCATCTCCAGAGTTGTAATTTTGATCTTTTTGACCCTATGCTTGCTCCAGATAAGAAAAAGTGGTAATGCTGACTACACACACATTCTAATAAGAATAAAATTAATGATACTCATATTTTGGTAATTAGCTACTATTAAATATTAATTGTTCACAACACCTTTTGGATCTGATCTCAATAATGTGACAGGAGTCCAGGAGGCACAGGCAGTGAAAGGAAAGGTTGAAGATCTTGGACATGATCCTGAAGAGTTCTGCTTTGACCTGGGCTCCGGGCTCTGCCCTGCTGTTGTGGGGGAAGCCACACAGGACAGTGCTCCCCAAGCTGCGTTCCCACTTAAAAGCTGCACCTTCATCTCTCAACTTAAAATCCACCCTTGGCACTTGGCTTGCTTGGCAATGCTGGGACCAGGACTCTGTACATGCATTTTCCTTGTCACCTATCTTTTTGGGAGTCAGAGGAGGGGAAGAATATCCACTTTCTTTCTGTTTAACTTGCTCTCTACAGCAGTGGCATCTCAGCCCTCATCACCCAATGGCAGTTGATTCCAGCTTTGAATTTGTTCCAACAATCCCTAACAGTTGCAGTTTACTTCTTCCAAGGCCAACCTACAAATAGTGAGCCTGAGGCCTGGGCCTAGATCCCCAGTGCTCCTCTCCTGAGCTCCCCTTAGTACCAGGACTCTGAACCCCAGCTCGGAACGGTACACTCTCTGAATCTCTAGGTGGTAATATCCTAATCCATTCTCTTCTTTCTCTCCACCCTAGGAAACCTGCAACCCCTACCTCTGTGTTAATTTAGTGCTGTTTAAGCAATCCCTTAGTGACTTCTCTTGGCTGAATACATAGTGTACCCTACCTGATCCACAGCCCAGCCAATTCTAGATTTTGAAAAGTGACACGGCTCTTCAAAATTGCTAACCTTATAGGAGGAGAACATAGCTTTAGGGAACACCAAGAATAAGAAAAAAATTTAAAAACATAACGATGTTTTGTAGTTGCCAAAGTTTATTTATATCTAATTGAATTTTCCAATTTGACTGAATGAAGGCTTTTGGGAATCTGTTCCTCCAAGAAATAATAAGTCATGAGATAATATAGTTTTCAAGCAAGCATTTTGGCATCTCATTCAATATTGACTCCATCATATTAATGTTATTCACACAACTTCTTGAGCAAACTGTGTACACACTTGTGTTCACACGCATCCATACACACACACACACCACTACCTTTATATTCTTTTGACCATTACCTATTTATGTTCAGACCATGTAATGCATTGTAATTCATTCATGTGTTCATTCTTCAACTAGATGAGTTAGTTAGCAGATGAAACATATCCCTTTCCCAAAGTTTAATTGCTACTCAATGGGCCAAGTGCTGAGTCATTTGCCCTTGACATACCTGGGGCTACACATATATGACCAGAGGCAGGTGTAGAGGTCTAGGTTAAAGTTGGAATGGTAAGTACAAGACTATAACCAGAACAATCATCTCATCTCGTAACAGTGTTTTACTTTTCAAACCAGCAAGTAAACTGGTTTGCATCCATGTGATGTTCAATAATTTACATGATTAACGTGCTCATTCTGCAACTAGGTGAGCTGGCTAGCTGTTTGTTCAGCTAACTGACGGTGTCTCAACTTCTACCTGTGGCCATTATTAAAACACACACTCTTCTGCTTGGTCTCTCAAGCTCTGAATGTGAAGCCAGGAGCCAAGTAAGTCAACATTTCAGCTGGGAAGTACCAGTTATAAGGAAGTTGGTACCAACTGGGCAAGTGAGGTGTGGACTTCAAGCATAGCCCATGGAGCTGCCAACTGGTCTTGAATGCTGTGCTTAATACAGACTGCAGTGGGGAGGACGAATATGTCTATCACTTTCACAGTAGGCTAACCTTGCCTTCACCTCTTGTTTGCGATATTACCACCTTTCTGAATTAGGCTGACGTAAGAGAACAAAGACATGCATAACTTGGCAAGAGTTTCTGGGTCAAAAGCACAGCTGCACAAGAAGAACACCAAGATGGAAAAAATAACAGCCTTATCTGGGGCCAGTTCTCTTACAAGAAATGCACACTTCTCAACATTAGCACAGTTACACGGCAATCTCTTTGAAACATTGCAGGCCTTTGTTTTCCACAAGCTCAAGGTTCTTACAGTAAATTACTACTAAGTAACCTATGCTTCTGGAGGGAGATAAAGCATTGTCAGGCAGGTGGTCATGGGAAAAAAAAAAAAAACAAACTAAAAGAACATCTAAATTTAGCCCCTGGAACCAGAGAAAGACTAGAAATCACAAGGTATGATGCAAAGTCAAATGCCAGAGAGATTTCCTAAAAGGTCTTGGTAATTTCCTGTCTTCTCCATGACTAGAAGCATCTTCCAATTCACACACTTGTAATTAAGAGAAGACTTTCCAGGAAAGGGGGTTCTTACCTTTCATAATGTCTGCGGGTACAAGTGGCGGCGCTGGTGCTCCCAGGATTACCGCCTAATTCATCATAAATATGTTTCCATTGGCGGCGGGCTGTTATCTGAAAAAACGGCAATGGGAAATTCAATCGGGCATCCTGAGAGATTCGTGGTGCCAGGCTTCAATATATATGTAATAGTCAGACGAGAATAGTCTGTTCTGACAACCCAGGAACAGACAAGTCCACATGAGTATATGGGGAGGCTTATAGCTTTCTAGTGAGTTTTCACTTGTAGTGCTTTTAAAAATAATAATCAAAATGAAATTTTACTTTTTGGCTGCCTGTTTTGTCACTCTGCATTTTTACCTAATGTACCTCTCTAGATATTCATGTACCTATGTCCCTAAGGGTCCCCAACTCCTTGCCTTTGTATCATGTGATAAAGTTTCAGAATAAACTTTCGCTAAACTCTTAGTTTTTCAGCTTAAATGAATCAAAATGAACACTGAGTTGCCTGAGGCTTGTAGAAACAGGTGGCCAAGTGTGTCGGTAAGAGGACACTTACCAAAGGTGCTTTTGTGTCCTCTGATTAGTGAACCACACACAGTGCATGGCCTACTTTCAAAACTAAATCAAAGTTAATACATAGATTAATTAAACTGATTAAATTGGTTGGGGAATTTGCAGTCATTTAAGATTATATTTTTATGCCAGCTCTTCTAACCACCAAAACCAAAACTAAATTCTGAAACTGTACATGTTCTGTTTATTTTTATTCTCTCAGGTCAGGAAACTGGGATATTGATCAAATCCTACGACATGAATATATTCCATCTTTTAGATGCTTATTATGTGTATTATTGTGTGGATGAAATTAAAACAAATGACTTGTCATATACTAAACTGTATACTTGGGTGCTTTCCTTTAATTTTATTTTTGTACATAAATTAAGATTTTATAAAATAACAGATGCAGTGATCTGGCAAATGATGGACGTGCGGACATCAGTTAGTTGACTACATCTGAGCAGTTATGCACTTTGGTTGAACCTAGAAAGACAGAATAAATTCTGAGGCTCTTGTAGAGCTTTCTAGAAGGAACTTGAAGAGCTTTCTCTTACTGGAATGTGTAGGGAGGAATTGTGGAAAAGGTGCTGTTGGCATTCTAAGCAGTCAGACTAGAAGGTTTCTTTTTGAAAGCTCAGAGCTGCTAGCTGAGTTCACCAAAGGGCTAACGGCAGCAATGGGGGAAAAATTTTCAGCTTGCCATGGGAGCACTGTATCTGTAACTTAAGGAGGAGGAGATGGGTAGTAAAATATTATGAGGTAAATGGTGCCTTTTCCATTTCAAATGCAAGGAACCCCTTAATTTTCACAAAGGTTTCTCAACAGACTCAAGTAGGACCTGGAGACAATGGTAGGGTTACATTATTCAGTTTCCCATGAAGGATTTTTGAACCAACTGGTTTCTATAGTTCACATTCGACAGAAGTGCCTCTTACATCTGATAGCAGGGGTACCTGGCTACCTGAAAATAAAAGCTTCCTTATTTTTAGCTTGGTTTAGATGATAATCAATGGTTTCAAATACATTTCAAAGCACTCAAAATACATACTTCGATAATTATTTTAGACCTAATTGCAATCTACCCCCCACTGATAAATGATAGAGCCTTGGAATGATCTATTTGAGGCTATTTACTAAGCGAAGGACAATGAATCTCCACCGCTGCATCTGCCTAAAGAGACCTCCTGAAAAGCCTCCATGCTCCCCTCACTCAGATGAGGGACCACCAAAGGACCAGTCAACAGCAGCTCCTGAAATCGCCACCCTGTCACCTATGCCTCTTGTGGGCACGCTGCTCTACACGGTCTACAGGACTTTTACCTTCTTTCTATCACTTAATCTTCCCATAGCCTGTGGCTTGTATTCATCCACGAAGAAGTTAGACTCAGAGAGGTCACATGACTTGCCAAAGGCACACATCCTCAGAGTGACAACCAGGACTCATCTGTTGTCTTATGTCTCAGGACTCATTGGGTCCCTGAACAGACAAGTTTCTGCTATCTGAAAGCATGCAGGATGACAGGATGAAGAGCTCATGCTTATGGCAGGGCATAACAGAACTCTGGGGGTCTCTTCCTTTAAATAAGGCAAATGACTGTGGCAGTCACAGTGCTTCTTAAGAGGGCTCAACTTTCAGCTTTGGCTCTTTCCCTAGGGGCAAACATCTAAGGGGAGGAGTCTGGTTAATAGTGCTCTCTCAAAGTGCAGAGTAAAGTCTACAGGTAAGGCTCCTTTAACCTGACTGCTTAGCTTGGTAGTTAGAACAGAGCTTGTGGGCCTGGCACAATAGCCTAGCTGCTAAAGTCCTTGACTTCAACGTGCCAGGATCCCATATGGTTGCTGGTTCAAATCCCTGTGGCCCTGCTTCCCATCCAGCAGCCCTGCTTATAGCCTGGGAAAGCAGTAGAGGATGGCCCAGAGCCATGGAACCCTGCACCCGCAGGGGAGACTCGGAGTTGCTCCTGGCTCTTGGCTTTGAATTGGCTCAGCTCCAGCCATTACGGTCACTTGGGGAGTGAACCATCGGACGGAAGATCTTCCTCTCTGTCTCTCCTCCTCTCTGTATACCTGCCTTTCTGATAAAAATCAATAAGCCTTAAAAAAAAAAAAAAGCAGAGCTTGTATCTATGCTCACCACTGAGGCACACATAATCAGATATATCAGAATCCACCTGCTTACTCATGCATTCAGCCATGAAACATCTACTGAGCATCTTCCGTTTTAGGTGACATGCCAGGAGCTGGGATGTCACAAAGAAAAACAGATTCAACCTCTAAAACTAATGCATTCTAGGGGACTTCCACAAATAAACACATACACAAACAAAATCACTGTGAAAATGTAATGAACTAAGAGACCACTGTTGAACTAAGAGAACATTTAATATGGGAAAACTGACCTTGTCTTCCTCCTCCAACCTGCCATCTACACAAGAGAAGGCCCTGCTAAATACGTGGTATCACACAAATGAGAAGATTGCTTTCAGAAAAAAAATAATGAGCTGTCAAAAGGAAGAAAAAGCTACTGCATTCTAGGTGAGAAACTGTGGCAAGAGGAAGCAACATCAAGCACCAATGGGTGCAACCTGTGCCGCTGGTGAAAAACCTGTGTTAATTCCTGAGGTTAGTGGGTTCTGGTGTTTCCACCCAATTTTTACAGGGAGGGATCATCTTGATGGAAGATAGAGCTGGGGCATTAAGGTAAGTGGTCCCTTCACTGACAGCAGATGAACCAGGTCTCTTACAAATATTGTGAATCATAAACTATGCTCAGTGCTCAAAACTATTCAGTTTTCCTGAGCTTATCTAGGTCTGGTCTCCAGATACAGTTTTAATGCTGACTGTAGACTCCCAGGAAAGGGACATGTAAATCTTGCTGTTGTCCGAGTTCATAATGTATCTCAGAGCCTGATAAGGAGACAGGAAAGGGCTTGGGAATTTCTATCGCACTGACTCAGCTGTGTGTGACTCTATCCCTGATGTTTTAGTTGTGTCTACTTCGCGTTTGCTTAGAGTATGTCTTCTGTTGTCCAGTCCTTTCGGGGTGTCTGATAGCTATCAAACCCTCTCTCAGAGCAGACACTGAAGATGCTTGTACCCCAGGCTAAAGTACCTGGCTGTGAGTGCTGGCTTTGGATGCTCGTTCCAGTTTCCTGCTAATGTGCATCCCGGAAGACAGTGGTGGCGGTCCACGTGGCTGGGAGTCCTGAATTGTGTTTCTGGCTCTCAGGTTTGACCTCAGGCCAGTGACAACTGTTTGAGACTTTTGAGAGGTGAACCAGCACATGGGCACTGTCTCTGTGTCTGTCTGTCTCTCTCAAACACCCAGATGAAAATAAACAGAAAAATTCCAAGTCTACGTGGGACAAAACTAATGTCTGTCCCAATCCTCAATAACTGGAATATTTAATTACAGGTGGGAATATTCCGATCCACAGTATCACTAAGTCTGAGTCCTCCCGATGGCCTTCAAGTCTCAGTGTGGCCTTCTATTATATTACACTGTCAGATACACAAAGACCTGATAGCTCTTTGCATCCTAAAGCAGGTGGCCAGGTGCATCCAACAGCTATTTCTTTTGGATGATGTTGCCTCTTTTCCCATTTGAGGTTCTCACTTAGTTCACTGGGGTTTGTGACATCATTACTGACCATTGCTGACCATTTCAGCGCACTAGCAGAGTACAGGAGCACCGAGTTGGCTGGAGAGGACGGAGGGAACAGGTGGGATGCTACCATGCAAGGAAAGACATGCTATTGCTTTCAGGAGCCCAGAGTGCAGTAGGAAGCATAACCCCAAAGCATCACCACAAAGGAAGATGGATATCTGAGCAGTCCACATTCAAGTAAAATAAGCCAAACTTGGAGAGTGTGAAACTTGATCTCACTATGAAGATACCTGAAAGTTACTTCTCTCAATGAGCTAATATCCCAAGAGTCCTACGGGAAGCCTCCCACATCCATTATATTCACAAAGGTTCCACCACATGTAAATACAGAAGTGTTCAGACTGCTGTTTAATAAACTCACATGGTTTATTAAAGGCAGCATCAAACCTACTCTCCATTCCACCAAGCTCGGCCAAGAAAATAAGCTGGACGAGTGGGAAAGGAGCTTATTTCTTCCATGATTTTACTTGATGAAAATACCCTGTGCCTTTAGAAACATTTTTGGAAAAATACTCTTTTAATCCAAGATGTGGTCTTGGGGCCTTGATTCCTTTGTCTTTTTGGTTGCAGGGATTAAAAAAAAAAAAAAAAGAAAAAAAGAAAAAAACTCACAAAATCTACTATCTTTTTTTAGCCACATGAGGAAACAACCATCAGAGATTTTTAGGGCTTCAGCACATGCAGTGGCTAAGGAACAGGTGGGAAATGTGCAATCCAGGGAGGGCAGCCTGAGCACAGCATGGCTGGGCTGCTCCAGCAAGAGCCTCCTCCTCAGGCCACCTCGAGGGCGGGCTGAATTCAAGGAAGATGACTTTTTTTCCTGGTAGTACTCCAGGAACTGGAGCCTTTCAAAACGGCATGACATCATCTTTGGCCTCCAGAATTT